AAGCTTGCTGAGCTTCCCCCTCTTAGCTGCCCTTAGGATCTCAAACTCCACCATCTCATGGTCACTCCAGCCAAGGCTACCCACGAGTTCAACATTACTTACCAGCCCTTCCCTGTTGCCGAGAACGAGGTCTAACATGGCACCTCTCCTTGTTGGTTCCTCTGTCACTTGGATAAGGAAGTTATCGTTAATGCATTCCAGGAATCCCCTGGATTGCTTGTTCCCCAACGTGTTGTTTTTCCAACTGATATCAGGGTGGTTAAAATCCCCCATGAGGACCAGGGCTTGTGAACGAGCAGCACCTCCTGTCTGCCTATGTAGTGCCTCATCCACTTGGTCCTCCTGATTGGGTGGTCTGTAGCACAGTCCCACTGTAAAGTCTCCTACCGTTCCTTTCATCCTGGCCCAGGCACTCGGTTCTTTCGTCATCACTTGCCAGGTGGAGCTCCATGCATTCTAGCTGTTCTTTGACATAGAGGACAACACCACCTCCTCATCTACCCTGCCTGTCCTTCCTGAACAGTTTATACCCGTCTAGTCCAACACACCAATCGCAGGAGTCATTCCACCATGTCTCTGTGATGCTGATCAGGCCATAGCGCTGCAGGCTCACAAGCATCTCCAGCTCCTCTTGTTTATTGCCCAAGCTGCGGGCATTCATAGAGAGGCAGATAAGTTAAATAAATAGAAGCAGATAAGTTAATTACTTTCAGTAGTCTGTAATTTAGGAGAGACATGCTAGCAGCCCTGGCAGCATGTGGTGATTGCACTAAGACTGAATGAAAAATCCATTTCATAAAGTCAACAAGAATCTGTGAGCTGCACAGATGATGGCAGCAGGTTTGTGGCACTGTAAGTAGCCAGCACTGAGCCAGTCAGATACCTTTTTGATGGCATGTTTTTAGGCTGCTTTTTATAACCCTAGTGGGAAAGGTATTGGCTAGAGAACTTCTATGATTCACTGAAGAAATGAAATTCTAGCATATTGCTTTCATATTTTGTTTTTATTGTGTAGTCTTTTTTCACTGCTCTTTTTCCAAGGTGACATTTATTGTTCTAAAAATTTGGAAAGAGCTCCGTAATAGCAGAATATCAGTAGAGTGAAGGACTTGTTCTGCAGGAAAAGCTTTGTTATTGATTATTTGTAATGATGCTTCTTTATTGTAAATGGATGCCATTTGATACTCATTTTTATTTATATGTGCACCAGAATGAAAAGGTGAGATGTATTAATTCTGTTTCCTTTGCAGTGCACAGTTACTTGTGGTGGTGGAATAAGGACTCGTAATGTCACTTGTGCCAAAAATAATTATGAGCCATGTGATACTTCGAAGAGACCAAACTCTAAGGCCCTGTGTGGTCTCCAGCAATGTCCTTCTGCTGGAAGATTTCTGATACCCCCACTGGCACCCAGAAGAGGAAAAATCATAATCAGAAAAACAGCTACTAATCCTGAATGGAGTCCTCCTCAGAGAATACCCGTACCAAGCCCAACGTCCCATACAACAACAAAAATACCTGAGCCTGAAAGTGTAACTCCCTGTTCGCCTACGTCCTCTGGTTTGGGTAATGCCTCAGAAAAAGAACGAATAGCCAACGAAACATTACAAAATCATTTTGGTGGACCAAGTGATGTTTACAATTATCCAGTTGTTTCTACTGAAAACAGTTCACACCAAAATACTACTTCGTGGTCTTTTCATAATAGCTTAAGTACTGAAATTATAAGGCACACTGAAAATATTTCTGAGAGTGAGCTAGTTTCTACTGTAGCGAGTGAGAGTGAAGACACTCCTGTCTCCTCTTTTACCCATAGCCCAGAAATAACTTCCAGCTATGATTACTTGACTGAAGAATCTGACGACATTGATGGGTCAGTTGGAGGCAGTGAGAAACCGATTGATCTTTACAGCACAGAACTCAGTCCTGAAATCAGAACCAGGGACACAACCCTGGATATCGACTCTCACATCCTTCAAAATGAGAGTGTGACTTCTCAGCGCCCCCCAGCATCTCATGACCTAGACCCTTCTACACTCCTTCCCATTAGAAGAGCAGCACAAGGGATGGCATTTCCAACAACAGCAAACTATATCAGTCTACAAGTTGATGTGCCTTTTGTGGAAGTAACTACTCCACAAGTGTCAGCTACAGTAATGCCCACAGTCTTTGATCATGTACCAAGAGACCAGACTGACAACAGAAAAGAAATTAAGCTACCTGACCCCCTAACTTCCAGCACACAATCGTCAGCTCTCGATCGTGCTCTCAGGAACCAAAGTGCAATATCCGTGGGTGTTTTAACAAACGTCACAGAAAACAGCCAGCTAGTAACATCTAACAGTTTGCCTGATGATGCCTACTGGATAGTGGGCAACTGGAGTGAGGTAAGTTATTTTTAACTCATAACAAGTGGAGAGTGTTAACAGCTGTCTGAACCACTGCTGAGGAAGTAAAGCTTCTTAGTTTGTCACGATTATCTAAAATGAGTATCATACACTCGAAATACTGGTCACAAAAAAAAATTGTGACTTGAAATATCTAAACTAGATTGCTTGCATAGAATGTGCCTGTATTTGTGGATTCTGCAATACTATGCCTAAGTGGACACTAAAATTTTAAGGGACCAGCTGTATCAACTGGAAATTCAGAAGTCCATGGGACTGTTGGGATTCATCCCAGAGTACTGAAGGAGCTGGCAGAGATTATAGCAAGACCCTTTTTGATCATCTACAAAAAGTCTTGGGAGTCTGATGAGGTCCCTGCTGACTGGAAGCTAGCCAATGTTATTCCAATTTGCAAAAAGGGTGTGAGGGAATCATAGAATCATAGAATGGTTTAGGTTGGAAGGGACCATAAAGATCATCTAGTTCCACCCCCTCTGCCATGGGTAGGGACACCTTCCCCTAGATCAGGTTGCTCAAAGCCTCATCCAACCTGGCCTTGAACACTTCCAGGGATGGGCCATCCACAACTTCTCTGGGCAACCTGTTCCAGTGCCTCACCACCCTCTGAGTGAAAAATTTCTTCCTTAGATCAAATCTAAATCTACCCTCTTTCAATTTAAATCCACTGCCCCTTGTCCTGTCACTACACGCCCTTGTAAAAAGTCCCTCTCCAGCTTTCCTGTAGACCCCCTTTAAGTAATGGAAGGCTGCTATAAGATCACTCCTGAGCCTTCTCTTCTCCAGGCTGAACAGCCCCAACTCTCTCAGCCTGTCTTCATAGAAGAAGTGCTCCAGCCCTCTGATCATCTTCGTGGCCCTCCTCTGGACTCATTCCAACAGCTCCATGTCCTTCTTGTGTTGGGGACTCCAGAGCTGAATGCAGTATTCCAGGTGGGGTCTCACGAGAGCCGAGTAGAGGGGCAGAATCCCCTCCCTTGACCTGCTGGCCATGCTTCTTTGGATGCAGCCCAGGATACGGTTGGCTTTCTGGGCTGCCAGTGCACATTGCCGGCTCATGTTGAGCTTCTTATCAGCCAATACCCCTAAGTCCTCCTTAGGACTGCTCTAAATCTTCCCTGGGGAAGATCGGGGGATCTACAGACCTGTTAGTCTGCCCTCAGTTCCTGGAAAAAGTATGGAGAAGATTATGCTGCGTACTGTTGAAAGGCATTTAAAGAACAATGTGATGATCAGGCACAGTCAACATGGTTCACAAAGGGAAAGTCCTGTTTAGCTAACGTGATATCCTTCTATGTTAAGGTCACTCGCCTAGTGGATGAAGGGAATGCAGTGGATATAGTTTTTCTGGATCCTAGTAAGGCTTTTGATGCTGTCCCTCACAGCATCCTTCTGGACAAGTTGCCAGGCTGTGGGATGAGCAGGTTTCTGGTGCACTGAGTGAAGAACTGGCTGAAGGGCAGGGCTGAAAGGATTGTAGTGAATGAGGCTACATCTGGCTGGTGACCAGTCACCAGCAGCATTTCTCAGGGTTCAATCATAAGGCCTGATCTGTTCAATATATTTATCAATGATCTGGAGACAGGAGCTGAATGCACCATGAGCAAGTTTGCTGATGATAGTAAACTGGGAGGTGCTGTTGACTCTCTTGAGGGACCAGAGGCCTTGCAGAGGAATCTAGATAGATTGGAGCATTGGACAATCATTAATGGGATTAAATTTAACAACTCAAAATGCCAGATTCTGCAGCTACGATAGAGTAACGCCGGGCACAAGTATAAATTAGGAGATGAGTGGCTGGAGAACAGCCCTGCAGAAAGGGATCTGGGGGTGCTGGTCAGCAGCAGGCTTAACGTGAGTCGGCAGTGTGCCCTGGCAGCCAAGGGGGCAAACCGCATCCTGGGGTGCATCAAACAGCATAACCAGCCAGTAAGAGAGCGGATTATCCCTCTCTATTCACCGTTGGTGTGGCCTCACCTGGAGCACTGTGTGCAGTTGTGGGCCCCACAATTTAAGAAGGATGTGAAGGGATGAGGAGGGCAACAAAGCTGGTGAAAGGGTTGGAAGGCATGTCCTGTGAAGAGCGGCTGAGGACTTTGGGCTGTCTATTTTGGAGAAAAGGAGGCTGAGAGGCCACCTCATGGCTCTCTCCAGCTTCCTGAGGAGACGACGCGGAGGGAGAGGTGCTGAGCTCTTCTCCCTGGCATCCAGTGACAGGACATGTGGGAATGGTTCAAAGCAGAGCTAGGGGAGGCTTACACTGGACATTAGGAAGAATTTCTTTACCAAGAGGGTGGTCAAACCCTGGAACAGGCTTCCTGGAGAGGTGGACAATGCTCCAAGTCTGTCTATATTTAAGGGATATTTAGACAATGCCCTTAATAACTTGCCTTAACTTCTGGTCAGCCCTGAAGTGGTCAGGCAGTTGGACTAGATGATTGATGTAGTCTCTTCCAACTAAAATATTCTATTCTGTTCTATTCTGTTCTATTCTACTCTATTCTATTCTGCTCTATTCTGTAACTCTTCCAGGGGCATGATATTTAGGTTTGACTATAACTAGAAACACCTCAAGAATTTTGTTTTGGAGCACAGCAAAAAATTCAGATATTAGGTGAATCCTGTACACACCAAATTAATATGCTTGTATTTCCAAATACGTACATAGCACAAATTAGCTGTAGATGTGCCGTTATGTTCTAACCTTCACTTACGTATCATTTCGCTCTAAATTATGTGTGTTTTCTAACTTAGTACGTGACCAGGGTCATGTAGGTAAACTAGCTTTATTACTGTATAAAGCACTTTAAGACCGTGGATACTTAAACATATTTTTAGTTGTCTGTTAATGTAAAACAGATTTTTGTGGTGCATTTCTATCTCATCCCACCATCAAAGTTTGCATCCACCATTAAGCAAATGCCTCTGAACTCAGAGTAGCATTCAGCCTGGTAAAACCAGTTTGAGTCTACAAAGAAAAGATAAGAATATTAGTCCAAAGTTAAAGTGGTGTATCCGGGGTTTGTACTTTGTCCAGCACATGCCCATGGGTAGACATTGTAATTTGGAGTTCTACAGCTTTGTTTGAAGTTTAGGTGATTATGCATTGGAACTGGGTTGTAGCAGTGGTAAAGTAAAAGATTTTTTATCTGGTTGACATAGAAATTAAAATTATCAGGCCAGTTGTGATTGTGCAGTATTCTCTGGATACAGCAGCTAATAATTACAGTGTTATACTATGTCTTGTTTGATTGTAGAAATGAACAGTTATTTTATCTGCATTAATGGTTGTGCCAAAATGAACTTTTCGGTTTCTAAAGGTAATTAAATTCAATCAGAATAGGTGTTAATATCCTCTAATACTCACTTTTGAAAGCACTGTCTTTCTGTTTGAGTAAATGAAACAAGTACGTCTTACAGGGAGTTTGAAAACTCCTTTGAGGTGTAAAGCATTCGGAAGATACTTATTCTGAAAGGTGATGACTTATCTGAGACTCTTCTGATCGCTGGTCATTACAGAATGGTAATACTTGGGTAACTTCTACTTTCTGTGCAGGAGCAATATAGATTGCAGTTTTCTCTGCCCTCAGAGAAGTGCTTACTGTTCTTCATTTATTGCTCTTGACGTTCCTTTACCAATACCCAGCACCAGGCTTTTTGACAGGTTTCTGTGCTGTTACCTTGCTGTGTCCTCAGGCAGTAGTTACTGTGGAGCCAGTTTTCTGACTTTATTTTTGCTCTTTCTCTTTTCCTGCACTTAGTAAAACTTTGTGCCTGTTTTTAGATAATATCTCTCCAAGGCATTGGTATTTCAAGACCGCCACATCTACCTACATGAATCTCTTGCTATGGTCTCTATCTTTCTCTTTTAGTGGCTGCCAATATTCTGACATTTCTTTGTTTCTTAGAATATGTGTATACTAGTAAATAAATAGTGCCCAAGAATAGCAATGATCACTGAGATAAATAGTGTGACATATCCCATAGCGCTGTTGACACTTAACTGCCAAGGGAGATTGCTAATTAGAATAGGGCAAAACATCATCCAATGACTCCAGTGTCTCTATCTGTAACTTTTAACTTCTTTCTTACAACTTTCCCAGGTCATTCTGGCCTGTCATTTTCCCTTTCTAGAGCTTTCTGGTTACCAAAGATACTCCATTACCACCAGATCTGCTCATTCTGCACCTCCGTTATTGGACATAAAAAGTCACCTGCACCTCCTCCCTCTGTGTAACAGACATAGACTGTGACAAGAGGAAGTTTTGGTTTCTGAATGACAGGAGGGAAAAGTGATAAGCTTGCCTCTTAACTCTTCCTGAACGTCAGAGCAGGTGTATATATATGAACATCCTCCAGTTGTTGTCCTTTGTGAAATATGAAACCATGGTCAAGAAAGCTAAAGCTTTCTCCAAGTGTTACTTACACCTTTCTCTCCTGTTCCTGTACCTGCACACAGCATTTTTTGAAAGAATTCTGCTGTGTTTCATGATCCTCAGAAAAGAACAGAAAGCTTTGTAAGTGTGATCTGCCTAGCATCATCCCTGGAGTTTAAATGCTCAGAATGGGGCTTTGGTCAAAGACCAAGCAGCCCTTCAGTAAAGTCTTGGTGTTGTCAGATTGGTATAGCAGGGTTGAGGGGAGCCATCAACAGTCAGCACCTAAGGCGAGGATAGTCCATCCTCTTGAACAGACAAGTTGTCTTGGATAGATATGTGACTATGCAAGACGGAACAGTGGTACACAGTCCCCTTTAACAGGGTCTTTATGACGTCTCGGACAACTGTCCCAGTAATCTTGGAAGCTGGAGATGGCATGCTGCACAGGCATTGCAGATTCACACTCTTCATAATGTGCAACTTTTCAAAAATTCTTTGTTGTGACCATTAATCATTTTTCCATTTCTCTGATTGAATCTGGTAGCAACTCCATGCCTTCAATTGTCTTTTTTCTCCTGCCCTAGCTTCACTTTAGCTTTCCTTATCTTTCCAAGGACACTTACTCAGCTTTTCCTGTTTAACTCTCCCACTTCTGTTCATGCAGTTCAAACCACACAATAGCAATTGCTCTCTTTGTTAATGTGCTGTCTTAATCCAAAATTATGCTGTTTGTCATGCCAGCTACAGACTCCTTTGCATCTGTTGGATTTGACTCTTAAGTGAATAGCTCACTGTTCTTCCCTTTTTAAGGCAGAAAAAAGTAAATGGGTGTCTCCAGCCACTTTTCACTTCTTTCTGCTTCAGAATATAATGTTAGTGTCTCTTTTGGTGAAGAGTGTGCACTCTTGGGATCTGGACTGACATGATCAATATTCTTATACTTCAGACACTAAAACCCACTCAAATGTTGGAAATACTTAGCCACTCTCTGAATTTGTCATTTAAAAAATTCTTTTCCTGCACAGTTTTCCCAAGAGCGTCACACAATTTATTTCAGATATTCAGTATCACGCACTCTGTTTGCTGAATATCTCATCAGCAGTATTAGAGAGGAAACAGTGATGAAGACTGGATGCAATGACATTTTGCATCGGATCCCCAAAAGTCAGAGAAGGAAACGGTGGACCAGCTGGTACAGATTTAGAATGTCTCAGTAAGCAGGAGTTTGCCAAAGAAGAGCAGTGCATGGTATAAATCAGAATTGGTATTTTCTTAACAACGCAACAAAAAGCACTCCTTCAGAACCTTAAGTAAGATTTAAGTGAATTTGAAATCTTCTTTTGGGCATCTCAGTTAAGCTAGGTCATCTGAAATGGCTCTAGATATTTATATTTAGGTTCCTGGATTGTTTCTGGAATTATTTACTAACATTGAGTTTGCCCCTCTGCTTTCCTCTCACCCTTGTGCAGTGTTCTACCACCTGTGGAATGGGGACTTTCTGGAGACATGTGGAGTGCAGCAGTGGGAACACATCTCGCTGTCAGCACATGAAAAAGCCTGATCCTGCAAGAAAATGTTATGTCCGCCCATGTGCTAGCTGGAAAACAGGAAATTGGAGCAAGGTACCTTCATTCAGAGCTGTGTGTGAACAGTAAACTTGCTAACTTCAAAGACTAGGGAGTACTAAATACTTCATTTTAAAAATAATTATTTACTCAGTGAATGCATACATGATTCCCAGTTGACCATTCGGCACTGATTTACTAATTTCCTGACTAAGTTATTTATGGAAACGCATCTGCTGTGAATTTTGTTCTTTCCCTGTGGGCGTCATGCTCTTTAACTCTTGTATCTAGAGCTAAAGCAGGGCTCACCGTCCATATTCTGTGGTGATCCTAGGGCAAAGCTGTACATATTTGCATGTGGCTTCTTTTTGATGTCTGCCTCCAGAGGTATATTCTAATTTTAAAAAGCAGGTGGGAATTCGGGAGAGGGAGTCAACATATTCCTCTTCACCCTTGCCAGTGTGTATTAGTCTCTTACATGACATGATCTGTTCCCCATTCATGTAACCTGTAAGTTTCACGTTACAAAAACTAAAGAAAAATGTATTGGGGAGGATACCTGTTATGTCTAGGGTCTTATTTGGTCCTAGTTGTGTGCACAAGCCTGGTCGAGAGACAGAAGAGTGTCCAAGGTGGTAAGTGGAACCGAAGGAATTGCATTTACGTTCTTTTTTGGTATTGTAAGACATGTGAGGAACACCTGGAAGGACTTCAGTGACTTCTTGAAGCTCGTTACATTTCGTCTTCATGCTGTCTAAAATTGAGGCTTCAAACAGTGAGTTATTTTTCAAGTCTCAGAAGAGAAAAACTATGAAATTCTATTTGAAATAATGTTGCTTTAATAAAGAAAAAGATAGATGTCAGACTTTGTCAATATGTATCATTTTTGCAGACAGTGCTGTTACCATTGGACTAGAGGGCAGATGCATACAAAGAAGAGTCTGCAGAAGAGGTTATAGTCACAAAACCTGTGTTATATTGTTGAGCTCTGTGACATAGAGTTGATTTGTATGTGAAATACGTGCCTGTTTAGAAAGTCCAGGCAAGGCCAAGGCATTGCATAACCACATTTAAACCTTCAAAATTCATTTTCAATGATACATAGACATTCTGCAGTCTCAGTTGCAGGAGGGCATGTTTCACCTTCACTTTTTCTTTGTAAACGTTATCGCTCTTGCAACAAGTGGATGATAGTTATGTCACAGAAAGTAGCTAGAAATCAGGTTTAATGGTAAAATATTATGGGAACAAATGTTTTAAAGTGTCAGTCCAGTTGTGAGGCCAGTTGAGACAAAAGACTTTTCCTAGCGTATTTCTATTGTGTTAGCCACGCTTATTTTTAAGGAATTGAACTATACAAACCTGATTACAATTTCATATATAAAAATGGCTATTTTTTTTTTTTGCTTTTGCAAGTGGCAATTGTTTTTCTCACTACGTGTTTCAAATATTTTTAAGGCATCTTATCACAGCAAGATGCCCATATTCTCCTGCTAGTGTAGTAGAGGTTTCTCTGTTCCTTTATGCTCATCCCTAAAAGAAAGGTGCCTCAGACTAGATCTTACAGTCTGAGTTTAATACGGAATGTAATTTGCAGGTATTTTAAGGCTGTGTGTACTCAGTTTCTTGCACACAATTTGTGTTTCTTCAGAACACTTCTGCCCGTGATTTCTATCCAGAGGGGCAGAAGTTTCTTGTGCCTTGTGAACAAGGGTATGGGCTCCCTTTCCATCCATCCTTCGGCTGCCAGGGCAAACATTATATTCAGGTTCCTTGTTCAACTGAAGTAGGCTTATTTAATGCAAAGGAGAAGAGCATCAGTTCTTATATTGCATCATGGTGGTAAAGATGAAAGCTGATCTGAGGTTACTCAGTGGTGCAGGCAGAATTGGCTTTGATTCTGGATGAAGACAAAAGAATTAAATGTGCATTTGTCCTTACCCTTGGGGTAGGAAATCCAGTTCTTCCTCAGCAGCAGGAGAGATCCTGCTCTTTGATATGTGGGGACAGAACCTGGTGCTGCTGCTTGAGGCCTTCAAGCAAGCTCTGGGGAGAAATAGGAGACTGGAAGGGCTCGCTTGGCTCGCCAGTCATGCTCCAAGCTGAGAACTGATTTCACAGGCTGTGAGTGAGGCTCAGGGTGTCTTGCCCTTCTCTCTCATTGTCTCATGTTTAAGCTGCCCTTGGGATATAGATCTTCCTGGTGCTGTGGAGAGGTGAGGAAGGTGAGGGTGGGAACTGCTAGTGCAGGATGGGTCCACCATCTGGCATTTGTATCAGCAGCAACTCAAGTTTATGGGCTAAGACAAGAAGCAGTTTTGCCAGCCTGAGCAATCTGCTGCCATGGACACCTACCTCTTCCATGGGTGAACGAGAAATCAGCTCACGCAACTGTGCCTCTTTCCTCTCTCCCTCCCTCAGAAACAACTGGAGAACGGCCAATTTCCCTGCATACAGGATTTGCTTTTTGCATTTATTGCATTATGACTCTTTCACTATGACATGTTTTGAAATAGCTGGCAAGATTTCCTAATTAAATATTCATCCACGTTATTAATGGATGTTTCAGTGAAGAAAGGGAAATATTTATGTGGTGTGTTCTGATTTGCTGTGATGAAAACCACAGTTTTTAAGCCTAACAACGGATTGTTGTTACGGTAAACTGGAAATTTCCTCTGTGAGTCAGAATGCTCAAAGCTCACGCCTGTCCTCCACAACTGGGGAAGGAACAGCTGCTCAGCAAAGCATCATTTGGAGATGTGCCCTTTTCTGTTTTCTGTACAGTGCTCTGCCAACTGCAATGGTGGTTTCAAGACCCGAGATGTTCACTGCATTGATGTTCGTGAAAAGCGACTTCTCAGGCCTTTTCATTGCCAATTACTTGGATATAAACCACAACTCAACACTAGTTGTAACATGGAGCCTTGCTTGCAGTGGCATGTGGAGCCCTGGAATGAGGTATTGTTCTTTAAAAGAAACTTTGATATGAGCAGTTATCTGTCAGTTAACAGTGACCATGATGTTAGGTAAACTTTTACTCAAAGGATGACTAACAGCTAGTACTACTCAAAGGCTATGTAGTCCCTGTGTATGGTTACAGCAAAAATTATCACAGACATTCATACGACTTCCCAGAATCAGTCCTAGGATTGCATGTGATACACAGGTAGAGCTGTCAATTACCATACCATGAAACAGAGAAGCAGATGGCCTGGAAGATTTATTTTAGCTTTCCTACTGGATCGGTAAATGTGATTAATTCAGACTAATCCCTTTTGCTTCCATTTTAATGTTGCTTTCTAATTATGATTAATTCAGAATTTTCCTTTACACTTTTTGACTGGAATTTTATGGAGCCAGAGACTGAGGTCAGACATAAGATAAATCTGACTTTTGGGTCACTTTGTAATATAAATCTATTTCAACAAACTTTCATAGGCAGCCAGGCACATACTTATGTCAGCTAAAACACATGGTCTGATTACATTTTAATATTTGCTTCCACTAAAAGCAGCTTTGGAGAAAGCGCCACAATGTTTGCAGCACTGTGGACCTGATGCTTTTAGATTTCAAGGGAGGTGATCGCACCTGTAATAAGGAGGAGACCTCATCCTCTGTGCAGCATACAGGTTTCCTGTCAGAGCAGTCAGCAAGGGCTGAAAAATAAGAGTAACCTTATGATTGTGCTTGTTTGCCACTTAAAATATCTTACAAAACCACTTGTCCAATGCTGGCAGTTGCCTTCATGATGAGGATACTGGATAGAATTGGATTGAAAAGGTTCATTTATCAGATGTCAGTTCTGGTCCTCTGTCCATAGGGATGCAGTTCCTTGTAGGATAGGAACAATACATTATTCAAAGTATATCTGGTGCATTTGACGCCTTATTTCATGTCCGAGTACGAAATTTTGGGCATATTTCAAGACTCTACTGCAGGCCTGGTGAATAATAGGCTTCTATATAATACATGAGTAAATGGCTTCTTCAACAATAGGTGAATAAAGGGCTTCTTCAAATACATTGCAGATAAAACTAACACTAGAGGCAATGTAGGCCCACTGCTGAATGAGGAGGGTGCCCTGGTGACAGAGGATAAGAAGGCAGAGTTACTGAATGCCTTCTTTGCCTCAGTCTATACTGCTGGAGGCTATCCTGATGAGCCCTGGAACCCTGAGGCTCCTGAGGAAGTCAGGATAGAGGAGGAGTCTACCCTGGTTGATGAGGACTTGGTTAGGGACCAGTTAAGCAACTTGGCCATCCATAAGTCCATGGGTCCTGATGGGATGCACCCGCGGGTGCTGAGGGAGATGGCAGATGTCATTGCCAGGCCACTCGCCATCATCTTTGCTAAATCGTGGGGAACGGGAGAGGTGCCTGAGGACTGGAGGAAAGCAAATGTCCCTCCGGTCTTCAAAAAGGGCAAGAAGGAAGCCCCAGGTAACTATAGACAGGTCAGCCTCACCTCCATCCCTGGAAAGATAATGGAACAACTTATCCTTGGTGCTGTCTCTAGGCATATCAAGGATAAGAGGGTCATTAGGGGCAGTCAACGTGGCTTCACTAAGGGGAAGTCGTGCTTGACAAACCTGATAGCCTTTTATGAGGCCATCACCCAGTGGGTGGGTGATGGTAGAGCGGTGGATGTGGTCTATCTTGACTTCAGTAAAGCATTTGACACAGTCTCCCACAGCA